AGCTTAAAAGAAGATTCAACGAAATTTCTTTAGAAATTACGACTGGCCACAAAACTACAAAATGTGAATCAAGAAAATGTATCAGCGAAAGAATTATACCAGCAACTTAAAAAATGCATTCATGAGGCTGCAAGTGAAGCTTTGGGTTATAAATACAAACATAAAACAAAAAATCAAGAATGGTGGTCAGAGAATATGCAAACGTTAGTGTACAAGAAGAAAACTGATTATCAGAAATGGATGTTAACGAGAAATAAGGAAGATTACAAGATATATCAAAAATTAAATCGAAATGTAAAAAAAAGTAGTGAAAAGTAAAAATGAGATGTGGGATCGAAGATGTGCAGAGGTGGATAGGTATATGGGTGGAACAAGAGTTGGGCAAGCTTGGAAGGTGATAAAATCTCTCCGGAGAGAAGGAAAGGAAAAATTGAACTTACAGTTAATAGATCTGAAAAAGTGGAAACACCATTATGAGGTCTTACTGACAAAGAATAGATGTAAATTCCAAAAGATCGAAATAGAAGAAATATCCGAATACACACAAATAATTGAAATAACAACCGGAGAGTTAAACGATGCCCTCAAAAGATCGAAAAATATTAAAGCAGCAGGACCTGGAGACATTCCAATTAAGTTGGTAAAGTATGGACCAAAAATATTACATGAGATGTTGGTTCAACTATTTAACAAATGCTTAAAAGGACAAAATATCCCTGACGATTGGAATATTGGATACATCAGCTCAATATTCAAGAAAGGGAATAAACGCAAATGCTCTAATTATAGGGAAATAACTGTTACCAGCTCAGTAAGATGGTTGTACGGTTGAATAATAAAAGAAAGAATATAATCAGAATACAAAGACATAGAAGAACAAAATGGATTTCATGTAGAAAGATCGTTCACTGATGGTATATTCGTTCTGCAGCAGGTAATCAAAAAACGAAAGGCAAGGAATCTATCTACCCACCTACTGTTTGTAGATTTAGAGAAGGCATACGGTACGGTACCTTTGAAAAAACTGTTTCAAACATTGACGAAAGTAGGTCTCAGTACAGAGTATGTGAATGCTATCGCAAATATATACAAAAATGCAAGAAGTGTCGTTAAAAAAGGAAACTTTATATCTGAATCATTTCCAATAACAAAGGGGCTTAAACAAGGATGTTGTATATCTCCGACCTTATTTAAAATATATATTCAATCATCGCTAGAGCAGTGGAGGGAACAAGTATCCGGAATGGGAATAGACATAGGCGATGGTAAATGTCTAACAACTTTATTTTTCGCAGATAATCAGGTAGTCATAGCGAATGATGAGGAAGTCATGGACTACATGTTTAGAAAACTAAAGAAAGAATATGAAAAATGGAGCCTCAATATGAATATGTCAAAGACAGAGTATCTTAAAATAGGAGATGACGAAGAAGATCCAGAGTTAGAAATTAGAAACAAAAAAACATGCAATGAATATAAATATCTCGGCTCTATAATATCTAAGGAATGCACTACCAAAAGAGACATCGAAAACAGGACGCAGCAGGGAAAAACAGCGGTTAACATTCTAAACTCTCTACTATGTTCTAAAGATATTAGACCAGAAACAAAATTGACAATCTATCGAACCTTGGTAGAGCCTATTATGACTTATGGGGCAGAAGTTTGGCAGATCACGAAAAAAGATAGAAAAAGAATAAAAGTAATAAAAATGTATTTTCTAAGGAGAGCGTGTGGTGTATCCAAAAAAGATTATATCAGGAATGAAGATATTAGAAGGAGGACAAATACTGTATATTCCAGTGTAGACAGATTTGAAACGAGACAACTAGTGTGGTATGGTCATGTGAAGCGAATGAATGAAGATACATAGCCAAAGAAAGCTTTAAATTACATACCACAACAAAGAAGAAGAAGGGGAAGACCATCAGTTGCCTGGGAAGAAAATGTACGACACCTAATGAGAGATAGAGACATCAAAGAAGACGAATGGATTGACAGAGAACGTTGGCGATCGAAATGCGAGGCGCGGCAGAGGCTGTAGGAACCTCGCTTTATATATATATATATATATATATATATATATATATATATATAAATTGTTATGATGTATTGTTGTTGTATGAGCAATGAGTAAATTTGAATGATATATGTAAGTATAGGGTTTTTATCGCGGTTCTCAAAGAATTAGTTTGTAAGTACTTTTTTAAATTATCTTTATTATAACTATTATGAAACAAACCTATCTATCTAATATAAGCAATATCAATTTAAAACAATCTATCTAAAATTTGAAATTCTTACAATTATTAAATTATTAACAAAATTTGGTACCGTCTTTCACTGAACGCCTAAAGTTTTTCCAAAATTTTAAAGTTATTATCACCACTAGATATTTTCTTACTCAGCCTTGGTTATCCAACTATTTTAATATGTTCCTTCTTAATTATCTCCACTCACCATATAAATATATATATATATATATATATATATATATATATATATATATTTAACTCCTTGTAATTTCTATATAATGTACTTTGAAATATACTGCATCTTGTGGTTGTCTTATTGAATGCTTATTTCAATAAATTAACTTCAAACTGTCACTATATTACTGTAGTAATAATTAATCTCCAACTGTATTAGACTTAATTCATTTAACTTAATCAATGCCTTCTTCTAGCTAATAATCTCTTCATAACGTCATAAATTATCCTTAATTCTTCTTTGTAATTAATAATCACATGTAACAGACTCATCGAGAAAAAGGACAAAAGAGGGAATCTAATCGTTATGAAAAGGAGACCAAAAAAATGGCCTCTGATGGCAGACATATCCGGAAATGCAAAGGCGCCAAATTTAAATTTTCCTACACTTATTAACAATAGCTATCAAATATTTTTCAGACGAGAAAGTTTTAATTAAATATTAACGACAATAGTCTAAAATGTGACACCATTGGTAAAAAACTTCAATAAAAATAAAATTTCATGTGACAGTTGGAACAAACAATAACATAACCAAACTAAATTTGATTTCTTAAACAAGGAAAGAGACTGTCTTTCCTTGTTTAAAGTGGCCTCTCAAGATAACACTTCCTGTCTAACAATATTTTTGCCCCCACTACCTTTACATTCCCTCTTTTGTCTTTTTGCTCGATGAACAGACTTAATAATAATAATAATAATTAACTTAATAATCTTCTTGTAACTAAATTCTTGAATTATAACTTTACTGAATCACTTTACTAACTGACTTCTAACTGATAACTGATCATACTGACTGACTGATAACTGAACTGGTAACTGAACTAAACTCTAACTGACTGATAACTCAACTGAACTGAACTGCTTCCCTTCAAATTACATGGCTTTTTATATGTTTTTCATTGTTTCCAGAGTAATCTAGCAACAAATAATGTTCGAATCATTCTATTTGTTCTATCTGAAAATTCTGGAATCGTTTTTTGTCTGTTATGTACTATGTATACAGTCCCATTGACATTTCCAGAACTTTCCATTTACAATTTACTCTCCAGATCAGAACTACACTATTATATGTAACTTAAACATTCATATGAAATATATTTTTACTATTCTACATCCACAATTATGTTCTAAATTAACATTCCAAAAATAAACAACTTTTTGACTTTGACACTACAGTGTATGTTTGGTTGCATATGCACCTGGCTGAATTAAACATATTAAATATTAAACAAAATAAAAAAAACTTCTTAAACTTAATTCTTATGCTAAATTCTTAAAAATACACTCATATAAATATTTTTTAATAATATTATCCAGTATACAATTTATAAATTATGTCTTCAACCACCATCTAAATAAATTTCTTAATATTGTATATCTGGTTGTATATATTTCTATGTTAATTTATTGTATTTCTGTTCTCAATATAATATATATATATATATATATATATATATATATATATATATATATATATATATATATATATATATATTCCACAGGCTAAAGGTATGGATATTGCTTTGCAAAAAAAAACTATTGTCCTTCTTACTAAAAGTTACGTTTGATAAAAGTATTTGGAATAAACAGTATTCTACATAACATTTTTCAAAGTTCGCAACTCATACAATTCTCCCTATTTTGAGGGAATTTTTAAAATTTGCCAAGACGGGATCAAGCATCTCTTTTCAAAAAGAAAGACAAATCGGAGGCCAAGAATTACAGAGGAATTAATTTATTATTTACAATACTAAAATTAATAACCAAAATCATAACGAATAAACTAAATGAAATTATAACACTAGTAGAAGAACAACAAGGTTTTAGATCGGCAAGATATTGCACCGACGCTATATTTATAATGAGGGTTTATAATTGGCATATATATGTTTCATGAACCTTAAAAAGGCATTTGACCAAGTTAAATTAAAGGATGTTATCTACTTATTGTACGCAAGAGAGATATACCTTTAGGAATAATAAAAATTTGCGAAAATATCTACCAAAACAACACAATAAAAGTAAAAGTAGAAAAAGAACTAACTGACCCTATGAAGCTGGCAATGGGATAAGATAGGGAGATTCCCTAAGTCCTAGCTAAACCTAATTATGAATGAAAGTAAGAAAAGTAAGAACAAAAAAGGATACCAAATGGGAGAAAAACAATTTAAAATAATTTGCTATGCAGAGGACGCAATACTACTCTCTCAAAGTTAAGATTTTTTATAACGTATGCTACACCAATTTGATATAACCGCTAGAAAATTTAACATGTGATTTTTTCCAAAAAAAGATAAAATGCATGGCTATAACAGAAAATTTACTAAGATGTAAATTGGAGCTGGAAGATCAGATGACAGAACAAGTGATGGAGTTTAAATATTTAGGCATCACATTATATAGCTATTAAAAGGTCGAAACAGAAGTGGAAGATTTAGTGAATAGAGCAAACAGAGCCATAGATTGCCTAAATGAAACAATATGGAGAAATAAAACATCAGGAAAGAAATGAAAAACAGAATTTATAAAACAATCCTTAGACCAATAGTAACATATGCGGCAGAAACACAACCTGACAGAGTGGACAAAAACGATGTTGGAAATAGCAGAGATGAAAATACTTTAAAATATTCTTCGTACAAAAAATGGTTTAAAACATCATGGGACAAAGCTAAAAGTACAGATATGCGACGTAGATGCAAGGTGGAGAACATCAAGAACTGGGTAAAAATAGAAGAGTAGAATGGACCTGTCCTATAAGCCGAATTACAACAAATAAAGTAGTAAAGACGACAACAGACGGTTCCCCAATGGAAAGACTACGAAAACGATAGAACGACAACTTACTGGACACACATTGAAAATCAGATAGTCATTCCTATATATAAATAAGAAGAAAAAGAACACAGCAGTCAATCGCAGTCCAGTATGAAAAAAGATCTCATGGTTAAAAAACTTTCGAAATTAATATGATATTGATACAAGCATACTATTTAGGGTTGCAATGAATAAAACTAAGATAGAGATATAATGGTAACCAACGTTCTGAAAGGACATGTTACATGAAAAAGAAGTAGGCTGGTTAATTTAGACCTTGGTTGCATATCCTATTGTGGCATTATCCCTAAACTATTAAAATTCATAAAAAAGAATAAGTTAAAGGGACCGTGTAACATAGTGTCGCATTTGTTTATATAAAATATGTTTAATAATTCGAATCGAGGACATTAATAAAACAGCCTCGATTAGAATGTGTAAGTCAGCAAAATTGCGAATCAAGACCGTATTGTTGTCGTAGGTCGATAAAACAAACTTGACTCACTAACGAATGCCTGTTGATATAGCAAGGACTATTATAAAAGAGACAATGAATATTATCTTATAGATCAGAACCAAATTAACGTCAAGATGGCAAGTCGATGTACCACGTATTGGCACAACTTCAACTAAATACTAAATACATTTAAGGTAAGTATCGTTGTAAGAGTGTATCTTCGTTGACAACTTTTGTTGTCAACGAAGATCTAATATACTTGTGCAATTTTTTACAGTTATTACTGATGGCTATACTCTCTTCGTAGGCAACACGAGCTTCATGTAAAGATTTCTTTAAATCTCTGGCAAAGTCTCGATGAATTTGTAAATCCTCTATGCGATTTGTACGTCTATATTTGTTCCACAACTTTCTTTTATACTTGATCAGATATATTAATTCCCCATTAATCCAAGGTTTTATGTTATTTTTGTATATGGTTTTTTTGAGGGTATTTTGGTTTTTGCATAAATTAACAACCTGTAGGAACTTATCCCAGAATACAACTGAAATGTCAGTCAGTTGGCGATTTACATTTTCAAAATCAATTATTTCATATACCGTTTTATTAACATTAGGATTAGGAGTACAGTACTGTAAGTTAAACTGAATATGAAACGTTATGACTGCATGATCTGAGTTACCTACTGGAGAACTTATTAAGGGATGTGTTAATAAATGGGGATCATTAGAGAATACCAAGTCCAAAATAGATGGTAAATTATTGATTCTGAAACGAGTCGGCTCCGTTATGAATTGATGTAAATTAGAATTTAGTACAAAATCTGTAAATGCGTTTTTGGAAGTTGTTAAGCCACTAGGTGGATCAGTTATAGGCCACGAAATGTCTCTAAAATTAAAGTCTCCAATAACAATTAAATTCTCTAGCCTAGACAGTTCATCAAGTGATGCGATAAGGGACTCATCATCTGCTAATCTTGAGTTGAATAATAATTATCATAATAATTATCTTAAGTTGAATAATAATCATTAGTTGAATAATAATATAATAATTTAACTAGGTTCTAGTTAACTAGTTCAGAATATTGAGTACACAATTTTTATTGCTTTTAAAAGTACAGAATATAATTTATTTTTAAGTTATCACTAAATAACTGTTTATATATCAAATTCTATTTTTTTAATGAAACAAAAGTGCCATATAAATTTATTTACTTAAGGTATATTTTTAAAAATATTTAAATTTGACCATGAAGATACACCGTGACATAGGTCGGAAAATATTAAATTATGACATGAATTTGCTTGGATGACAATCTCTTCAAATAATATAGACGAAGAAATCAGTTATAACTTTTTATTTTACTATTTAGCTACAATAAGTTAGGATATTTAGAAGTACCGTTACATTTTTAAGGAAGGAAAAGAATTTAAAAGAACTTTTAAAGACAATTGACCATGGCGTCAGAAAAATTGTCATTATGTTGGAACAACTTCCACGAGCATATGAGTTCAGGAATAAATTCAATATGAAAGAATCAAGATTTTGTAGATGTTACGCTTGCAGCGCAAGAAAAATGCATAAAAGCACATAAAATGGTTCTTTCAGTTTGTAACCCATATTTTAAGGAAATTTTTAAGTTGAATCCCTGTCAACATAGTAATTTTGACGAACATGACTTACGAAGCACTAAGAGACTTATATTGGTAGTACTTGACAGACTTAAAAAAAAAATAAAAAGACGTAGCCTATATTTTTGCACAATATTTTAAATAAAGTTTTTTGAAAACGATTTCTAGAGAGGTAATCGAAACGTCAAACATTAATTAAATAAAAATGTAATTTTCTTTACAATCAAAAATTGTGGCTTAATCCAATAATTAACAAAATTTATTTCTGTTGCTTGTAGCATTCCTATATTTTTTCTTAAGGTTTAATAAAGAGTATACTAAATTCTTCTTAATACTTATTGTGTCTAGGTGGACAATAAATCACACTTACCTTAATTGTTAGTGATTTTACAATATTACTGTAGCTTAGATTTTAGAAACCATGTGAATTTCTTCTTCAAAATAATTTTAAGTCATTTTTTATGGTGCAATTCTAGATTAATAACAATGACAAATATGCGTATGATGCATTAAAATACACCCCCAATATATCTCTGCAAAAGAAAAAAAAAATGGAAAATCTTTAAAAAATTGAAAAAGTTAATGATTAATGTATCGAATGACAGTTTTGAACTTGCTTGTCCTGTCGCTAGATTTTATTGCGTCATTTTTTTTAAACAATAACTACGTGATAGGTGATATTAGTTAATAAAATATAATTAATAAGATATAATAGGTTTTATTTAATAAAATAATGAGGTAAAGCATTGTTCTTATTTATAATTAAATCACCCACAAAATATTACAATATATTTTATTATTATATCGCAGTTACATTGTAAGATGTTTGATCGATGCTCTAATAAAACATTTATTTTGAATATCTATATATTTTGATATTTATAGGAGGTAAGTAATTCTAACCTATATATTATATATATTTTTTGTCACATACTTTTATATACAGTGTGGAAACCACTTATGGAATACAATTGTTTGCGTCCTTATTTTAGAAAATAATAAAAAACCTTGAGATACCTTAACTTTTAAATTTAAATGTACGCTTTTTAGACATAAATTTGAATGTACAGGGTGATCAATGCAAGTCTGGCATAGTGCATAATCTGTATTTTAAATGAAACACCCTGTATATTTTCATGTTTTTAAAACCTCCTTAATAACCTGATTTCAACGAACTATATCATGTAGGGTCTATTATGAAAAATAAAAGGTGAAATTTTGAAATTAGGTATTTTCTTCAAGACAATGAATTCATAGAATACCCGAGGTAATTGATTGGATTACATTAAATAAATGCTCAACATGTTCTCCACCTTGTTGTTGGCAATAACACAGTCTCCTATAAAACTCGTTCCGAACTTTGTTTAAAGTTTGAGGTGAAATATTCCATATTTATGTAGTTATCCTTACTTTTTGAGGTCTTCAATGATAGTTGATTGTATTGCATATACTTTGTTCTTGAGATAACTCCACAAAAAAATCCAAAGGCGTAAGATATGGCGACCTAGCTGTCCGCTCACTAGTCCTCTTCATCAAATCCACTTATTGAAGAAGATTTCGTTCAAGTAATTTCTCACCATTAAAGCATAATGGGGTGTTGCACCGTCCTGCTGGAACCAGACAGTTTCGGATTGGATTATGATATAAATTAGCCAACTAAGAAAGAACATCGTCTCTTAGCATGCTTAAATGTTTTTTCGCTGTCAAATTATCATCTATAAAGTGAAAAACACAGCAAATATTTGATTTCACGCAAACAGCGCCTTTGTATCTGTTGATACGTATTTCGACCTAATAGGTCTCATGAGAACAGTAATTCAAAGGTGTTCTCAACGTGAAAGTTCAATATTTTCTGTCTTTTAAGAAGCAACACTAAAATGGCTTCATGTATGCATCCGTATCGAAGCCATTTTAGTGACAGGAGCCAAACCTATTCACGACAAAAAATATTAACACGGTTACTAAACAGAAATTTTCACCAATATACACTGTACTGACACTTTGAGTGGAAGTCTATTGTCTGTAGTTAGCTAATTTAAAAGAATACCATAACACGTGATAAATTATTAATTTCAAAATTTCACCTTGTATTCTGTATATATATATATATATATATATATATATATATATATATATATATATATATATATCAGTTGTCTTATAATATTTCCAGAAATTTATTCTAAAACACGTATTTTTTAAATTTTCCTTCTGCCACAGCCTGCAAATAATTTTTTTTAAAATAACCTTTTATCGGTTTAAATTTAATTTTGTAGTAAATAAAAATATGTTCCATTAAGACTATATTGCACTAATTCGAGTTCAACGGAATAGTTAGCTATGAAACAATAACTGTTTAAACAAAATGCAACGCACAGAGATTTTAATGATAAAAGTTTATGAAGATAGCATCTGTATACAAGCTAAGATTTGCAATTATTTAACAATAAATATCCTATTACTTAATCGACGATGAGCAAAGTCGAAGCAACATTTAGAAATGTCGGTAATAAATATAAAAAATGTTGTCCATGTAATATTGTCAGTGCACGAAAATCTTCATACATCTAACTTGCAAATTGCATTTAAGCAATCGATATCTCAAACGTGTGTTTTAAACTATCTAAAAGACAATAAATGGCACCCATCTAAAACACAAGCGATTCATGAACTTAATAAAGATGACTTTGATCGCATACAAAAATTTTGTGAATTAACTATGGATCGATGTAATTATGATCTGCAATTCATACGGAAATGTGTTTTCTCAGATATGGTTAACAGGTACAGTAAATGAGCAGAATTGTAGGTACTGGGCACAAGGGAACGAACCCTCATTGGGCGGTAGAAAGATACATCCAGTATCAACAGACAGTTAACGTGTGGGCGTGAAGTATTTAGATTTACTTTAACAGCGAATAATTAACGCACTAGCAGCTCTTTACCCAAATTATCAAAATCCTTAGCTACCGGACATTTCACCATGGTATCAGTAAGATGGAGCACTACCAGAATAAGCACAAGTACGTGATTACCTGAATAATATTTTTCCTTACGTATGAATTGGCAGACGAAAATTTTTAGATTGGCCAGCTAGATCTCCTGATCTAAATTTAATTTCAAGTCTAAATTTTACGTTAACAAACCTAACAGTATTCATGAAATTAAAGAGAGAATTAGAACTGAAATTAAATTAATTAATGTTGATAACCTTAATACTGTTTTGCAAGAGTTTCAACATCGTCTTGCATATTGTCAAGAGGCAAATGGTTTGCAATTTGAGCATTTAATTTAATAAATTTTAGGTTTATTTATTCCTGCTTATATTTTTATAAATTGCGTTAAGATATGACTTATTTTATTTCTCAAATATACGGTTACATAAGCGACATAAAAAATATGATATTCGTATACAAAAAGATATGCTCTTTCTATAGTAGTATCAATATAAGGTATTACATTATAAAAATGATAATGACGTCATAACTGGAACAGTGATGACATCAAAAATATGAGTACAACAAAATGTGTGCTACTAAAAAATAAAATCGACCTGTTTTACCCAATGGCTAAATCGAGCTTTTAACGAATATATTCCAACCTTTACGTGTTAACTAAAGTAGCATCCCCCACTATATTTAATACACGAGTAAATGAAGAAATTAATACCTGTATTTTTTTGCAGGTCCTTTCCATAATAATGTACAAGAAAATTTTGGTAACAGCAGTTCTATTCGCTAATATGCACTATGGCGACAGTTCATTGGTAGAATTATTAAGAAATGGAATAAGTACGGTTTATAACGGAGTTGATTGTGGACTTTACAAACTCGAATCGTGGATTGGTAGTGAACCAAAGCCGTGTAATTTTCATTTCTTTGGGAGTTCTAAAAATCATACACAGAACGGGGTTCACAGTGGATATGTTCCACTAAAAGAAGAAGATCCAGATCTTATCGCAGGAAAACAATATGCAGATTCGCAACCCGAAAGGGGAACTGCTAGAAAGACCAAATCATTCTCACTATCAAACAATAAACAGAAAATACAGCCGCAAGAAGAATATCATGGAAAGTCATTGCATGTCGGAGATAAAAAATTTATAATACTTAAGAAAAAACATATGGACAATATTAATTCTGCAGTGGATGATGACGAACAAAATAAAGAAGAAGAAGAAGAAGAAGAAGAAGAGGAAGAAGAGTTAGTTAAAACTCTTAGGAACCTGATCAAATCTCAAGATAGTAAAGTCTAAAACTATAAATCTCGCCTTTTTACACCTAGTCTGTATATAAAGCAAAAAACGCAGTTAGAAAACACAGAAGAATTGTTCACTGTTGTAATTAATAAATAACATTAATTTAGTTTAATTTAATTTAGATATATATTTTACTTTATACTTTACAAAAATAAATTTTAGGTAAAATATTTCCATTAAAAGAATCTTAAAATATTATTGGTCCCTATAATTAGCCTGCTTACTCTTTATGTACTAGTAGTTGCTAGTACTAATTTATATATATATATATATATATATATATATATATATATATATATTACTAATTACACTAATGTTTACTACATTTGATAAAAACTTATTTTTTCAAATAGAGTGGTTTAGGCATTCAAATAAGTTCGCTACAACTAACAGAAACTGATATATACCAACAAATCAAAAAACAGGTGCACAAAGAAGTTCAGAAAGTAGAAAGGCAAAAGCAATTGACAGCAACAAATAAATGGAGGAAAGTAAAGGAAATCTTGAGATTTTTCACAAAACAAAAACTTCAAGAAGACACATCATCTACAAATAAACAATGGATGACAGAAGAGATAAAAGAACTGATGACGGAAAAAAGAGCAAACAAGAATAAAAACAAACAACAGTACAAAAAAAATTAATATAACAATCAAACAGAAAATCAAAGAAACTAAGGAACTGTGGGTATCAGAAAACTGTGAAGAAATAGAAAGGTTAGATAAACAACACGACAGTTTTAACATATACCGGAAAATCAAAGAGACCGCACGCATATACAAGAAGAAAGGTATTGGAAATATCATGGATAAAAATAACATGATAATAACGGAATGTACAGACAACCAGTGTCATTGAACCAAGAGGAAGAAATGTGCCACCAATCACCAAAGACGAAATTGAGAAATTTCTAAAATGTATAAAAAATGAGAAGGCCATGGGACCAGAAGAATATTAACAAAAAATCATATGGGCACAATAATAGAATTATTTAATGACATTTATTAAACGGGAGGGATTCCAAAAGAATGGTTAATATTAATATTCATTCCAATACCCAAAAAATCAAGCGCAATGAATTGTGAAGAGCACAGGGCAATTAGCTTAATGAACCATATTCTAAAAGTGTTCTTACGTGTGATACACGAACGTATCTATAAATAGCTAGATGATAGAATAGCTGAAAACCATTTGGGATTCAGAAAAGGTTTTGTTACCAGAGAAGCATTATTTACTGTACAAACACTAATAGAACGATGTCAAGATGTTAATTGCAACGTATTCATATGTCTAGTCGACTTCGAAATAGCTTTCGACAAGGTACAACACCGAAGAATTGCAAAACTACTGTAGAACATAAAATTAGATGACAAACAAGTCCGCATTATTGCCAATCTATACGGAGAGAGATGTCAGGCATATGAACACACAAAGTTACTGTTCGAAAGAACCGAGATGTGTCCGCTGCACAGAAAAACACCTAACAGCCAAATGTGAGAAACCCAAGGACGCAAAACCTAAATGTGTCCACTGTGGAGAAGGGCATCCGGCTAACTATAGAGGATGTATCGTGGCAAAGGAAATACACAAAATAAAAGATAAATATAACAAGAAACAGACCTTACCCAGACAACCTCAAAAAATGCATCCAAAACCTGTGGAAAATCCAAAACAAGAAGAAAACAGAACAAAAACTTATAGTATGGTAGCAGCTGGTAAAAGTAACGAAGAAAACTATAGTAGTCAAAAAGATCTGAAAATAGAACAAACACTACAAAAAATATTAGAGAGATTAACTAACCTAGACGAGCGTATAACCAGAATAGAATATAGCACCAAAGGAGCTATACCTAAAAGACTTGGTAATGGCGGGTAATTTACGAATACTAGAATGGAATGCAACTGGGATCTTGAAACATCAGCAAGAACTACAAGCGATACTAGATATAGAAAAAATAGACATATACCTCATTTCTGAAACCCATTTTACGAATGAGTCATATATTAAATTTAGGGGTTACAAAACTTATCATACTACTCACCCTTATAATGCAGCCAAAGAAGGTAGTGCAGTAATAATCAAGGAAAATATTATGCACTATCAGGAAATTGGATACAGAACAAAGGAATTTCAGGCCACATCAGTAAAAATTAAATGTAAAAATTATGAGGTAATCGTCACAGCAGTTTACAGTCCGCCAAGACATGCCATCAAGAAAAATCAATACGTAGATTTCCTGACCAGTCAAGGACATAGATTTATCCTTGGAGGAGACTTCAATGCAATACATACGCATTGGGGGTCACGACTGACTACAACCAAAGGGAAAGAACTTTTAGAAGCAATGAAATACATAAAATGCGACGCAGTATCAACGGAAAAGCCAACATACTGGCCTACTGACACAAATAAAATTCCAGACATTATCGACTTTTGTGTAGTTAGAAATATTTCTACAAATTACATAGAGATAGAAGAGGCATTGGATATGACCTCGGACCATTCTCCAATTATTCTCACACTCAGTGACACTGTTATCAAAAAAGAAAGCCCCCCTAGACTTGTTAACAAAAACACTGATTGGAAAAGTTTCCAGATAGACCTTGAAGAGAAGATTAACCTCTCAGTGCCATTAAGAACCATTGATCAACTAGAAGCAGAAGTAGAATTACTCAATAAAAATATACAACAAGCTGCTTTGAACAACAGCACGAACAGTGTCGAAAGAATAAAAGGAAATAACTACCCGAAAAAAATCAGAGAAATGATAACCGAAAAAAGAAAACTAAGACGCAAGTGGTATCAGTCTAGAGCACCAGTTGATAAAACTAGATTAAATAATGCCACACAAAAATTAAAAAGAGAAATACAAAAAATTAAAAACGAATCGGTTAACATTTACCTAAGTGAACTATCAAATGATAGCGCTACTGATTACTCTTTGTGGAAGGCTACTAAACGATTAAAAAGGCCAATCTTACAGTATCCACGAATTAGAAATACTAATGGTAGCTGGGCAAGAAGCAATATACAAAAGGACAACAGGTTTGCTGACCACCTAGAAAATACTTTTCAACCAAATGAAGAACAAGAAAGAAGAAACTGGGAGCTCCCTGATCAAGACGAAATGGAGATTAGCCTTGTAACTCCAAAAGAAGTATATATGGAAATAAAAGAAAATATAAATCCAAAGAAAGCTCCTGGATTTGATCTAATTACTGGGGAAGTATTAAAGAAACTTCCAAGGAAAGCTATTATAAAATTAAAACATCTTATAAACGCTTCCTTTAAGTTGAGGTACGTACCAAAGATATGGAAGGTGGCAGAAATTATAGTGACACTAAAACCAGGAAAACCTCCACAAAAAGCTTCTTCATATAGACCTATTTCACTGTTACCTGTCATGTCTAAATTATACGAAAAATTACGCTTGCAGAGACTAAAACCGATTATAGACAAAAAAATTTAATTCCTAATTATCAGTTTGGGTTTAGAGCAAGCCACTCAACGATAGATCAGGTGCATAGAATAACAGATATTATAGAAAAAGCTCTAGAAGAAGGAAAAGTTTGTTCCGCAATTTTCCTCGATGTAGCGCAGGCTTTTGACTAGGTGTGGCATGAGGGACTATATCATAAAATGAGATGCTGCTTACCAAAACAATATTCTGAACTACTAGAATCATATATATCCGACAGATAATTTCGAGTTAAATATGAGGAAGCATATTCAGAATTAAGAGAAGTTAAAGCTGGAGTTCCACAAGGAAGTGTCCTGGGGCCAGTGCTATACCTGCTCTATACCAGCGATATTCCGTCATTAGAACCTAACACAATTGCGACATTTGCAGACGACACGTGCATTCTAGCAGTCGGACAAAACCACGAGGATGCAGCTACCATGCTACAGAACTCTGTTGAACAAATTAACATCTGGGCCAGCCGATGGCGTATCAAATTGAATGAAACAAAATCTGTGTATGTCAATTTTACTAACAAAAGAGAACAACATATCCCAGTACATATAAATAGAAACCAAATACCTTATGCAAATACGGCAAAATATTTGGGTATGACGTTAGATTCCAAGCTACGTTGGAAAGCACATGTTAAGAAAAAAAGGAGGAATTAGAAATTAAGTTCAGAAAGATGTACTGGTTGATGGGAAAAAATCCACTCTGTCTATTTACAACAAATTGCTATTATATAAGCAAATCCTTAAACCGATATGGACATACGGAATACAGCTATGGGGCTGTACAAAAGAAAGCAACATCCAACATATACAACGATATCAGAATAAAGTATTAAGGAACATCGTTAACGTTCCATGGTACTTTAGAAACTGTGATCTTCATCGAGACCTCCAGATGGATACAGTTATCCAGACAATAAGTAAGTTTGTCGAGAGCCATGAACAAAAGCTCTCCAACCACGTGAACGTCGAGGCCATCAAACTCCTAGACAACGCCAACCAGATAAGAAGACTAAAGAGAACGAAGCCGTTTGATTTAGTGCTATAAGTGAGTGAAAGTGAAAAAGCAGAGTAAAGTGCGGCTAAAGTGTACACGTTAGCTAGTAGTACTATAATGTATTAGAGCCTAAGGAATATTGCTGAATATAACCTTAGATCAGTTTCTTGTAATATTTATATATAGAACTAACTTGCTTATTGATCATAGTGAATGATCAGATAGCAATAACGATAGCTACTCTAAAAAAAAAATTTACTCTACTCTACTCAATAGTCATAAGATTCCTATTGGAGTTTTATTAAACAAAAAAAATCTATACGGATATCAGAAAGCCATAATACGGTAGCATCTTATTTCTACCCACACTTCCAAAATTTCCCAGAGATATTTCCGATGCATCTAAATAATATGAATATACTATCAAAAATCGAAAGAAATACCTATAAATCGTGAAGTAAGACAAGGATATTGTTATGTCTTTTTATTGTTCTAATTTATTTGTCTTTATTCTAATTTATTGTCTATATTCTAATTTATTAAAACTCACGATAACTAATTACTAATTTATTAAATAGCTTATTAAATACAAATTTATTTGTTACGTTTCGTTACAAGTAAACCGCGTTTCCCGATCTTCTTATGACTAACCCCTTAATGAAAGTCTTCCGTTATTTACATAATTCCAAGCCGGTAAACAGAAAGGTGTAGAAAATACCATGCTGTTCTCGATGTAGACATAGCGGCGACTGGTCTCAAAACTGGTATGTTCTTTATCGGCTTGTCGCCCCCAGAACATTCGATTGTTGTTTGTTTAGCGAAGGGGACCTAAATGATGTCAGGTAGATTTTTGACCTAGAAATTACGAGAATCAATACAAAAGAATTAGTCATAAAATATTTACAGTTCTATACGCCATAACATTTAAAATCGTAACATTGCCCCCCTCTTAAAAGATGGTTCCTCCTGGAACCTTGTCGGGACTGGAACTGGAACGACATGCTGATATCGGCTACTGGACCCTCTTTTACAACTTCCAGTTGTATAGAAATGACAAGGGACGGTTTTCTCTCCGCACCAGTAACTATGCGGATTGCAACAGACTAACACCTGGACTTCGGTGTCTTTAAACATCTCCTCCACTATATTTCGGATAACCCTCCAATCTAATTGGCGGCACTCCACCTTTGGCATGGCTAACTTTTGCACGTCGGACTCTAGTACGTGCTCTCTCAACTGAAGTAAGGCTTCCCATACATCTCGGTAGGTAGGTTGGTCAGGGGCAGTGTCTTTTGTTACCAGGTAGAAAAGGTAACGTGATGCATCTTGGAGTTTCAAGGTTTTACCAGGAGCTGGCACTTGGCATTGAAGTTCTGCAACTCGACCAAACTTCCTTCGAAAGACGGATGCCAACCCTGGTGCGTCTTTGATACTGGCCGGGATGGTAAGGACCAGTGCCTTTCTTCAGTGGTAACACCATGTCTTGCTTTACCGGTACCTCCATAGGCACCCATGAATTCCTCAAACGTGAGGTCAGACACATCTTGGACTTGGTTTACTTCCACTTCTTCATCTACGTCGTGGTCACCCTCGAAAGACGCCAGCCGATTATGGTGTACTATCATCGGCTTTCCTCTCGGGATCTTGCTTATTCGGTAAATAACATCATTGATCTTCTCCATAATGAGATATGGACCTTCCCAAAACTGTTGCCACTTGGGAGAGCAGCCTTTTCGCTTTTTGGGATTATAGAGCCAGACCTTGTCGTTCTTCTTAAAACACCCCTTTTCGGCTTGCGTATCATACCGTTTCTTCATTCGGTCACTAGCGATCTGGAGATGGGAACGGACCAACTCGTGTACATCGTCCATTCTTCTTCGT